GAGAGTGGTGTTTAGAAAGGAGGACAGGAGAGGTGCAAAATGTTCAAAAATGGCTGCTTCTTACCTAGAGCAGGCCGATTTGGGTGGGCTGAAGGACTCAAAGACAGCAGCTGAGAAGTCACCTGGAGGGCTTGTATTAACTTCTCCAGCAAAATGAAGGTGGGTGTCTCTAAACTGCTATCTCCCAAAAGAGTGATGGATTAGTCTTTTATTCCACAGATAAATGCAATGGAGAGTATGACGCATCTGGATCTTCACAAGTGTCCAATAATTACAGTCCTTGAGGATTAAGTAACAGCTTTTGGAGATGCAATATCTCAGTGGGTAAATTTACATGACAGAGTAAGTCAATAATTAAGTCTGATTTTTGTTGTGTGTTTACAGGGACCGAAGTAATCTTTCTTGTCAAAACCTGCACAGGTGTGAACAAGAAGTAAGAAAGAATCAGATTACTCATATCAGGTATAACTATTTGATATGACATGATATTTCAACAATCTGACAACTCCAGAAATCAAACAACGATCAGATTTTTCGAGTGTGTGTAAGCATAACCGATGTTAGACTGGCCTTTTTCACCTTTTTCTTTACAAGCGCCATTCTGAGCACTCTTCATAATTCAAGGTATATTTTGTTTTTGAATTGGTTGTCTGAGTTGCTACGGCAGTCTGAAAAATGTTGGTGCGACAGTGGGTCAGTGGTTAGTAGGGAAGTAACAATAACCGAAATATCGTGATATCATATCGTCAAAGTTCTCACAATAACAATGTGGACCATCACAATATATCGAATTACAAGCCTCTTTGCTTAAATTAAGAGTTATGGTGCAGCAATCGCTTTAAAAAAATGGGGGAACTACATAGACCTTGATCGTTTGCTCCATTTTAGTGTAGACTACATGGAGAAATAACACTTCTAAGCTCCCCAATATGTCGTGAGCTTTCCCACGATATCGCAATAAATATCGTACCGTGAGTTTCATACTGTGACGATACTGTATCGTGAGACTTACATCCATAGTGGTTCGAGCAGTGATCTCCAACCAGAGGGTCAGAAGATCGATGCTCTGATGGTGTGTTCTTAAGCAAGACACTTCACCCACTTTACCTAGTATAAAGGTGGTGTAGCAGGAGCTAAAAAAGACAGCGGGAACTACATAGACCATGATCCTTTGCTCCATTTCAGTGTAGACTACATGAAGAAATAACAGTTCTAAACACATTTAAGTCTTAGTTCTTTGGATGAAGTCTTGTCAAGTTATTTTATTGCATATTGTGAAAATATTGCACTGAGAGATATGGATATTGTTACATCCCTAATCGAGAGCTTTCCCACGATATCGCAATAGATATTGTACCGAGAGGTTCACACCGTGACGATAACGTTACATCCATAGTGATTAGAGCAGTGATCTCCAACCCAAAGGTCCGAAAATCGATTCTCTGATGTTCTTAGGCAAGACACTTCACCCATCTTACCTAATATAAAGGTGGTGTGTGTGTGAATGATTGACGGTGGTCAGAGTGGCCAATGGCGCAGATTGACAGCCTCGCTTCCATCAGTACTACCAGGCCAAGTTAGAGATCAGATCTGGAAAGGTGACATAGCTAAAAGTAAGAATGCATATTTTTCTGAGTACTTTAAATAGTAACACTTGTATTAAAATAAATTCAAAATTGATAAGTTAAATGCCAAAGACAAGCAGGTGGTGGACCCTGCATCAGAAAAGTTACATAGTACACCCTTATCTACTCCTTATATACAGTACAGCATTCACCATGTCATGCATTATGAACCTTTACTTGTGAACAGGACCTCCATGTCTTCTTTGTAGGGCTAACAAACCACAGCTCATCACTACAGACCCATTAGCTGTGGCAACCCTTCATTTGTGCTGTGTGTGTGGTTCAGTTTAGAAAAAAAAAAAACACTCACACACCAAAAATACCCTACTTTTTCTACATTTTTCTGGCACTATTTCTCTGTGTATTAGAAACAAATGGAAAAATACAGTTGTTCTAACCTGACCATAGACACATTTATACGCATAGCAAGCACACACATGCAGCCAAATGTCAACAGCCTTCTAAATTTATACTAATGCTTTAATAAATCATTGTACCTGGCAGTGTATTTCCTTTGAATGTAAGCACAGGCTGAAATAGGTTAAGACTGGGCTAAAAGGAGTGCTTTCTGACAACTGCCCCATTGCAGGGTTCACCTCTTCTCCAGGTTAAAGCTTTAGAATGCTGACCTCACTTTGGAACCAGGCAACAAATTCCTGGAAAAATATGAACTTGTGTCGACTTGTATAGATCAGGATAAGGCAGATCTACTTGCATTTCATTTGTGCAGCATTAATGAGGCAAACCAACACAATTAATAAGAGAAGCACATATTGGACAAAGCCCAATCACACAGTGGTAAAGATAATCAGATGCCGGATATGGAATTGAATCACAGATCTGCTTGTACCATAGACTGAATAAAAAAAATTGACTAAGGGAGTGTGATGCGGCAAATTTGGAGCCAAGTTCCTTATTAGGAGTAGGCACTGATTTACAGACAAAATAGCAAAAAACAAAAAACAAACAAACAAACAAACAAAAAAACTCCAGCATCATGTAGAGTGAGTTAATATGAACATCTGAAGATTAAAACGAGGAGCCTGACAGCAGCAGAAGTCAATGGAGCCAGAGGTGCGCCCATGCTCACTTCCTATTTTCAAAGTGGAGGCTACCAGGTTAACTATGTCCATTTATAGCATATGATTTATAAATACAGTCTATGGCTCGTACAAAGGTAAATGCTATAATGTAATTTAACAAAATGGTTTAGCAGTTTTGATTTCTCACTTTTCATTGGCTTCACGATGGTATCAAGTTGATCATTATATTTGAATAATCCTAACTTTCCCAAACGTTACTCTTACAATATAGAATCTTTTATAATGCCATGTAGGGAGAAAAAGAGAAGTGGTTTACATTTTATTCTGATGAAAGTCAAAGACTGTGATAAACATGGCAGTGAAAGACAGCCTGTGGATAGGGACAAAGAGTGAACAATGGGATTGAGAAAAAACAACAACAACAACAATAGATATATCAGCATAGAAGATTATATCAGATGTCAGATCATACTTTGCGATGAACTGTGGGGACTATTAAAGTAGATTTTAATTGTAACTGTTTAGCATGAATGAGATGCCATTAGAATAAATAATGTGATTGGTCCTCATCAGTGTTGGGAAATAAGTGAATACATGTACAGATAATTATGAGTACTAATTTTGAGTAACTGTATTCTGGTACAGTTACTCTTTCATTTTGCAGTATTCACAATACAGTTACTTTCCTAAATTAAAGGAATACATGATGGTATTTCATCATGCAATTTTGGCTTTGAACTGCATGATATTAAAGAGAAAAAAGAAACCACAGTTCTTGCATGTGTGTTTTTTTTGTCTCTAATTAGACATAAATTGTTTGCGTAACAAACAGTGCAACAAGAATAAAGCTGTTTGTAATTATATATCATGTTTTTACACTATGATATAATGCAACTCCATGTAAAAGTATTCAGAGTATTCAGAATACAGCACTTTGATTGGGCCATGTAACGGGATATGTTAAAAAAATAATAATAATAATTTGGCTATTCTGTAACTAAATACATTTTCAAAGTATTCTTCTCATCACTGGTCCTCACAAACTACACTAAAATATTGGATTTCAGCGTGTTCAAGACATATTGTTTTGTGTAGAAAAAAAGGGATACAGTAATAAATGATCTTAAATATTGCAGCACTTTACAATGCCTTAAGAAAATATGTTGAGACTTGAAACTGAGTAACTACAAAGCCAGCAGGTGGTCCTCTCTTCAGAAGAGGCATATATGGTTCAAATCTATAAGCAAATGCAGTTTTCTGGTGAACTTTTAAACACAAGATTTTGCATGGGTCTGTTGTGGTATACTATTGACATGATGGTGGAATCAGAAACATGTGTTGAAGCTACAAACAGAAAACATATAAAAATACACATTTAAACTTTACAGATACCTATCCGGCACACATTCACACAAACTGGACAAAGTTAGCATCCAAAGTGCATCATTACATTAGCCCTGTATATCAAAATACAAAACAACATTATACATCATAGGAATACACAACCATTGTTCCTCGCACGGCTAACCCCAACTGAGAGGGGTCCACGGTGCTCGTCCAATCCAAAGTGCTTTGAGAGAAGTGGGAGTAGTCTTATGTTTTCATATTTGTACACAAACACAGTATAAATAATAATGGCATTATGTGGGCCTACATCTTATCTAATATATAGTGTTACGATGTGACATGTATCCCTTTGGAGGCCCATAAGTAACGGTATAATAGAAGTTACTGAACAAGGAGTTTATGAAATGATATGGACCCAATTTGTATTTCGTTGCTCCAAAGGAATGAATGAAAACAAAATAACGTAGGATGAATGTCATTTACTGAGCATATGATGACACCGATATGGATTGCATAATATCTTCTACAATTACTAGTAATCTTTGAGAAGTTAGTGTTGGTCAACCTATCTCATGCCTTAAAGGTGCACTCTGTAACTTTTCTAGAGGAGGTGTGTATGCCACCTGTTGTCTCCATGGAGATGTCAGATGATTTCAGGCGAATAATTTCATTCAACTCAGACGTTTTTCTGTGAGGACTGTTTCCTATTCAAAAAATATTTATCTTTATTTGAGCTGACAAAGGACCGTCGCTATAGCAAGAACCCCATGAAACTTTCGTAGACTCTAGAATGTTCCACAGTATGGTATTAAACGAAAATGAAATCTTCGTAGAAACAAGCAGGTAGCGCCATGTAGTGAAGTTACAGGTCGGATCTGTGCAGAGGTGAGAGTAGAGTGCATGTTTTTCAGAGTATTTCTTTAACAATAAAACATCTGTAACTGAATAAATACAAGCTGGAGATGTTTAATGCCATAATGTGGAGCATTCCAGGTAAAGCAATACAGCAAGTGCATGGAGACAAGCAGGTGGCGGACTCCAAAACAGAAAAAAACCAACAAACTCATATGCATGTGACAGTAGTGGTAATAGCTGTTCTCATAATATTATTTCCTGTACAAACATGTGTGGATATTAATTTGTTTCGGTCAGTCCAATAACACCAAGGTAAGTGTTGAGTTGTCAGAGTTATTAAATGCCACAAATGCCAGCGAAATCCCGTGTATCTGAACCTGTACATGCTGCGGCAAGTTCCATATTAAGCTCTGTGTTTCAACTTGTTTGATAGCAGTCTTCTGGTGATAAAGAGACTAAATGATTTCTGTCTTGGCTGCAATAGAAACATACACATTTCACATTCTTTGGTCCTTTTCCGCAGACAAATATAGGTAGTTTTATCTTTTCAAACAAGTCCCTTTTTACAGTGGGTCCTGGTTCGGTCAATGCAACCTTACATAACGTTGTCTGGGACTAGCAACTAATGTATAAATTCACAAACTGTCTATATCCATCCATTGTTGAATCTCCATTGGTACCGGATCTTTAGTCCTTAAATGTAGTCCAACTTTTGTCCGGGCTTAGTCCAGGTTTAGTCCAAGATTTGGGATCAGTGACACATACTCAGCTCTTTCCTGACCAGACACTTTTTGCACTGCACCACGCAACACCAGTGAAACCTACACAAGCAGTTCTCCTCGAAAACAACCGTCTCCTCTTTGTACCCTCTCTGACAGCACAACAAATCACAGCCGCTGATATCCAGGGCCGTGCTGTTACAAGTGCGCCCCCTAGTGCCCAGCGAGCCCGTTTTGCGATTGGCCAGGCAGAAGTCTGGAGATTCGTCGGAGTATATTAGATCCTGTTTGTCCGGTGGTTTGATGTTTTGGCCGACGGGGATGAGGGTCTTGCCGTCGTTTCCGCCCATGACTTTGGAAGCTCCGTTGAATCGCTCCAAAAGCCGGTCGCCCACTTCTCGGAAATGGGGCATCTTCTTCCAGCAGGTCCGGAGCGTGCAAGAACCAGAGAGACCGTGGCATTTGCATTCAGTTCTCATGTACAGCTTCACCGCCTGAGAGGGGAGAGCAAAGACAAGGGATTAGTCTTTATATTTTACCCATATTTAGGCTTCGGGATGTCACGATATAATGGTTGTGGAAAAAAACAAAAAACAAAACACGCATACTGATTTTATGATTATTTACACCATGACCAAACAATAATGAAATTCTTAAAAGGAATATATCACACTGTTTTCTCATTCATGTTGTAATGTACCTGGAGTTTTGTTTCGTTTCATTCACATGTTTAACACACAAATGCTCCATACTGAGGCGGAGTTCTTCTCTCAAACTGAAAAAACTCTGTTCCACCTTGAGATGTCATTTGGTAATGCAGAAAGCAGAGGTGGGACCAAGTCGTTGTTTTGCCAGTCTCAAGTAAGTCTCAAGTCTTTGACCTCAAGTCTGAGTCAAGTCCCAAGTCAAATACAGACAAGTCCAAGTTGAGTCTTGAGTCACTGACCCATAAGTCCAAGTTAAGTCCAAGTCATCCGCTTTGAGCTTCAAGTCATTTCAAGTCTTTAAACCAAAGTACCAAATTTTGCTTAGATTTTTGCAATTTATGTGAATTTGAAGATAAACTGAACTTAAAAAGTCATAGTATATTGATATATTAAATATTTATAGAGTATATAAGAAGAAATGCAAAGTTTTCCTTTTTAAATGACTTGACAAGATCTTGTGAATTTATGAATTATGAATAGAAATAATTCAGATTTAAAAGTGCTTCTCAAGTCTTCTCAAGTCACAGGCCTCAAGTCCGAGTCAAGACCCAAGTCACTGACCTTCAAGTCCAAGACGAGTCCCAAGCCTTAGTCCATTTTATCAAGTCAAGTCTGAAGTCCTAAAAATAGTGACTCAAGTCTGACCCGAGTCCAAGTCATGACTTGCAAGTCCCACCTCTGGCAGGAAGTGTTCCACTGTGTTTTAAAACTCCATACACCTTCACTAGAATCATTTAGATCATTTCAGTCCTGGAATTGCTGATCTCTACTGAACTAAAGGTCAAAAGTTGCTGTTAACTTGAAAACTACTTCTTCGTGACATCACAAGGTGGACCAGGGCATATTGAGCTTTGGAGTACAGACAGGTTAATAATAAAGAGTTCTCGAACATGTGTGAATGAAACAAAACACATCTTCAGGTATGATTTTGAAGAGGTAACAACATTATACCATGGCTTAAAGCTCTTAAGAGTCAATTTTGTTTAATATAGTTCCACATAGTTTGCACTGTACAGACATGAGCTGGGGGATCACATGAAAGACATACTTTTAAAATTCTGACTCTGTATTTGATTCATTCTTAAATTGAAAACAGTACATTTTAGTTATATTAGGTGAAATAACATAATAAACTACTAAAACAAACGCAATTAAATCTGGTTTAACTTGAAATCATGACAAAAAGGAATTTCATTTCCCAAGTATGACGTGCAGTTATTGTGGGGGTTTTGGCCTGAAAAGTCTGGGCCTGGCTGAGCACAATTCCTCTAACATGTGACCAGCTTTATGAAATCAAAGAACGGAGAATCCCACACTTTGTATTTGTTGCCCATGGAAGACTTTTTTCTCGCCTTTTTAATCACACATAATTAGGATAAAATCTCCCTTAAGCTACAAGTGTTCTTGGATTGAAATACCGACCACAAATCATTCAATCAACACATAATAATTCGGAATAGTCTTTAACACTGCAATACCATGTGATACATTCAATAAAACATGCAATAAAATAGTGCAATATGTTACTTTTCTTTTCTGGTGGAGGGTCAGCTACTTGCTTTTTCCGTGGAGATGTTGTTGCTGTGCCATATATATCTAAATATCTCTCTTTCTCTGTCTCTGCAAGGAGCGAGAGAACAAGAGAGTTATACATAGTCCGCTAAGGATAATTAAGTCTTCTCATATAATTACGCTTTAGTAGTACTTTAATTATACTCTGCAGTCAAAACTATCAAGGTATGAAATAAAAATAGGTCTGTGCATAAGAACCTAAAGTATAGTATGCATTTGTTCAATCATGCATGTTTTAAAAATGCAAAATAAAACCTTGAAATCATGCTTTCTTACAATGAGCAGGATTGCCTCTTCACAGATCTGATTTGTAACTCCCTGCTTGTCTCCATGGAGATAGATATGTTTAATGTCACACTGTAAAAACTATCCTGGCTAAGCAATAACATCTCCACAGAGCGAGAGCATCTGAAAAGTTAAGTTAAAACCTTTATCAACCAGTAAACTAAACCTGTTCTTGAAGTGGTATTTTTCTCTCTCTGGCTTATTTTAATTTATTACATGCGTTTATGATCCATATCAGAGAGCGCGCTACTGCAGGACAATCAGGTAGCACACACACAGATAGATAGGTAAGATAAAAGTAGACGCTATTAAGAAGGAATTCAACTCCCATCCCCCTCTCCTCTCTCACAGCCCCGGGCCCTTTACCATCTAACAAGCCTTGACAACAGATCATTCACTTATATGGCCATAATTAACCCATCACGCATGCACACACACAACCAAAGCCAATAAACAGTCATTTCAGCCTATTACAACACATTTGATTTCCCAACTCGCTCTGTACGCAAGCCTCCTCTTATGTTCTTAAATTGTTTGTTCACTAATGCTGAAGTTGGACTGGATCCCGCTCCTCTCTCTCTACCTGTCTTTGACCCCAGATGCAGTGAACTTTGCAACTCGCTGATTTGCTCGTGCATGCGTAAAAATGTCTTCTGCAGCAGTCTCAATAGAAATACATTACCGTGAAGGACCAGGTATTGCCAATACGGTCGCAGTATCGGTGAGAATGAAATAGAGAATGTGCTATGCTATAACAGTACTAATCAACAGCTATGTTTCCATATTTGTTTTATCAACATTTGCAAAACATGTGCTCACTGGTGAAGTCTGGTGTAAATCTGATTTGATCTAATCTATGTTTCTTCATCACAAACATACCTGAAGTTTTGTTGTGTTTCTTTCGCACATGTTTAATACACAAACCCTGCAGATTTAGGCTTGTGATGGCATATGGTAACCTCTACTGAACAAAAGATAAAATGTAGCTGTTAACTTGAAAACTGCATGACATCACAAGGTGGAACAGAGCATTTGGAGCTTTGGAGACATAGACAGACCACTAAAAGATTAAGCATGTGAACATGTAAATGAAACAAAACACAACTTTGGGTATGTTTTTGATTATAACATGGCTAAAAGCTCATGTGAATACATTTAGTGTAATAAAGGACCTTTATGGCACTGAACATATAACCAGGCTGACGCCACCTAGTGCCACCACTCAATTTCATTTCTCTCCATCGACTAGATCAGGAATCAGAATACACTAGAGGGTTTGCAAAAACCTCGGAAGTGCAAGTCCGGGCACCATCCAACCGAAAAACCATATATTCTGTGTTGGCAACAATTCCCAAGATTGAGGATTTAAAGCCAGAATAAAGAGAATGTTTGGTGAATTTTATCAAGGGGAAAGACGTTATTGCTCTTCTTCCTACGGGATTTGGGAAAAGCTTAGTATACCAGTTAGCCCCATTAGCGGTGCATTACATACTTCATGACCAAATAGCAGTGATTGGTTAAATAAAAAAATGTACCTGCCTACCGTCAAGTGAACGAATTCTAATGCTGCGAGGTCAGACAGTTTCCACGAAGTGAATCCGGCTGATGAACATATGCATGTTTGTCAAAATATCTCTATTCACTCTGTCCGCATTTCATGTTACAGCTGTCCAATAAATAGCCTTTGGGAGAGAAAATATTCTAGATCTGATCGGAATTTTGAGCTTAAACAATCCGTGTTGCAGTTGTAATATATATCACTTGTGTTAACTCACCGATGCTTAACGCTGGGATGACTTTATTCAGTTTTTTTCCCCACAGAAGAGTACCGTATAATGTTAAAGCAGCAACCAATACTGTTTTATACCTAGAATTTGCACGCCCTCATATAATAGAAAACCAAAACTAAACAATGATGACACCTGACACACTTTTTCGAGATTCTGAGATAAGAAAAGTAATCATTTTAAAACCAGGGTTGAGATCTCAGATAAAGTGGGTGACCCTTATCCAGATCTGAGCTAGAATCTACGATCAGAAAAGCTGGAGGCTATAGCCGTTTATGCGCATTAAAACTGACATTGTTTTCAAATGCTAACGCAACTACATCTATACGATACGCGAATAATTCAAAGCTTCTCTTGTAGTACATTGACTTGCCGGGGCCATAACTCACCCACTCACCGCCTCAACAAAGAAGGACTTTAAACGTGTACAAGAGCTGTAGAAATGTAAGACGCTCGCTGCCTCCAAGGCCTGAAAACCAAATGTGTGGCACGCTCTTGTTTTTGTGTTGGAGAAACTCGATTCTTGTCGGAATATCGGCTTACAGCGCTACACAAATATGACTGCAGGACATGTCTTTCTCTCCTTTTGCATGTTCAAGGAATGATGGAACATTCCAGAGGACAAGCTGCACCAGGGAGAGCCTCAGATGTGAGAGTGGAATATTGTAAGAGGGATCAAAGTCAGTGAGGCCAGAATAAAACATATCTCCTCTGATCTGCTTTTATCCATTCAATGAGGCAGAATTTGATAGTGAACCAGTTTTACTGCAGTGTTCAGTCAGCCAGAGGGTGTACTCTCAGCAGACTGAAGGCTGTCTCTTAGCCCCATATTTGAGTTTTATATTTTTATTTATTCAAGCCCATGTTGTTTCTTCACCAAAACATACCTGGAGAATCCGTGTATCATTCGTTCATTCATTTTTCAATATAAAACCAAAAATAAGAAAATGAAGTATTTTTCAGTATTTTTCTCCAAAACTAAAATGAAAAAAAAGGGATAACAATTTATTTTTTCCGTTTTCGTTTTTAAATGAATAATGGAAAAAACAGATAACGAGCGTTTCCAGTGTCTATGACTTAAACTGCGATGCTACACTGAACCAGGACCAAACCAGGATTTAATTGGTCTGGTCCCGGTCTGGTCCCAGTTTCAGTCCCTGGTCTCAGTCCCGTTCTCAGTCCCGGTCTCAGTCCCGGTCTCAGTCCCGGTCTCAGTCCCGGTCTCAGTCCTGGTCTCAGTCCCAGTCTGGTCCCGGTCTCTGTCCCGGTCTCAGTCCTGTTCTGGTTCCGGTTTCAGTCCTGGTCTCAGTCCCGGTCTCAGTCCCGGTCTCAGTCCCGGTCTCAGTCCTGGTCTCAGTCCTGTTCTTGTCCCGGTTTCAGTCTTGGTCTCAGTCCCGGTCTAGTCCCGGTCGGGTCCCAGTCTCAGTCCCCGTCCTCAGTCCCCGTCTCAGTTCTGATCCTGTTCCCAGTCTCAGTCCTGGTCTCAGTCCCAGTTGGGTCCTAGTCTCAGGCCCGTCCTCAGGCCCCGTCTCAGTTCTGATCCTGTTCCCGGTCTCAGTCCTTGACTCAGTCTTGGTCTCAGTCCCAGTCTGGTCCCAGTGTCAGTCCCTGGCTCAGTCCTGGTCCTGTTCCCGATCTGGTCTCGGTCTCAGTCCTAGTCCTGTTCCCGGTCTGGTCCCGGACTCAGTCCGGGTCCTGGTCTCATCCAGGTCTCATTCCCAGTCTCAGTCCTGGTTCAGTTTCTGCGGCATCACAGTTTAAGTCACAGAAACAGGAAACGGCCGTTATCCGTTTTCTCCATTATTCATTTAAACACAAAATTGAAAACTGAAAAACAAATCATTATCAATTTTTTCATTTTGGTTTTGGAGACAAATAATGAAGAAAACTGTTGTTTTTTTCATTTTCTTATTTTTGGTTTTATCTTTAAAAATGAATGAATGAATGATACACTGATTCTGGAGTTGTGTTTTGTTTCATTAACACACAACAGAGCATTTTGAGCTTTGGAAATGTCGACAGACTAATAATAAAGGGCTACTCGAACATTTATTAAAGAAACAGAACTGTGGATATGTTTTTGAGGAGGTAACAACATTATAATGGGTTAATGCTCACAATTTCATGTAATATAGGACCATTAAAAATCCCAATGTACAATAGAATAATAATAATTCCTGAAAAGTCGACTACTAAAGTAATAGTAAGTTTATGATCAGGAATACCTAGCTAGAGGATTTGATTTGCCTGTCACACTGCTCTGAACAGAAACTTACCAATCTCCCTGCTTCATTATTGTGCAGGTCTATTAGCGTCCGGATGTCACTCTTCCCTCTCCTCCTCTTGGCGTCCATGAACTGTTTGGACTTTTCGTACCCAAACTCCACATCGTCTCCACAGCCTCCCCACTCCCATTTGACCCCGTCCCCTGGAGCGTAGGACGAGGGCCGAGGCGGGGAGCGGTTCCTGGTGGCCTCACAGCCACACTGCAGCAGGTCCCCCATGCTGCAGGCCTGGGTCACCGCGTGGGTCACTCCGGCGGCCGTGATGGCATACACGAACGCTGTCTCACGGATGTCTGAGGGGAGGAGAGAAGAGAAAGATAGTTTATGATAATTTGCAGACTATCCTTTATGCCACAGAGACAAAGATTTATACGGGTAACAATTTGAAATGGCTCATTTATCAAAATAAATGTAAACACAAAAGATTTTTTACACTAAATTCATGATGTATACAGTAAGCTTGTCCAAATAGTCGATACCCTTCAATAATAATTATTTATTCTAGAGAAGAATTACATAAAGAGGAAAAATTTGAATCTCACTGTATCTTACTAATCTTACAGTACTATATTTTTGTCTTGTAAATTACATTATACTGTCTAAAAAAGTAAAGTCTGATTGTGATACAACAATAAGAATAAATTATTGTAGTAGCAAAATTATTAATGAGTATGTGTACTGAGTAAGTTTTATTGAGAATGCATGAATAATTTTAATCCGTGTATCATTCGTTCATTCGTTTTTTTGTTTTTTTTTTGTTTTTTCAAAAGCCAAAAATAGGAAAACGACAAAAGAACTGTTTTCTTTATTTCTTTATTTCTTTATTATTTGTCTTCAAAACCAAAATGAAAAAACAGATAATGATTTTTTTTTTTTTTTATTTTGTGTTTAAATGAATAATGGAAAAAAACAGATAATGGCTGTTTCCCGTTTCTGTGACTTAAACTGGACTTTTGGACTAAACCAGGACTAAACCAGGTCCAGGACCAGACTGGAACCAGACTGGGACTGAGACCAGCACTTAGACCGGGACCAGACCAGGGCTGAGACCGGGACCAGAACTGAGACCAGGACTAAGACCTTGAACAGGACAAGGACTGAGACCAGGACTGAGACCGCGACTAGACCGGGACCAGATCGTGATTGAGACGGGGACTGAGTTCAGTCTGTATGTGGCGCAAAAGTCTGGCATTGCAGTTTAAGTCACAGAAACAGGAAACGGCCATTATCCGTTTTTTCATTTTGGTTTTGGAGACAAATAATGAAGAAAACAGTTGCTTTTTTCATTTTCTTATTTTTGGTTTTATATTGAATAACAAATGAGCAAATGATACACAGGTTAAGGCTTTTCTTTATTTTCATTTGACCATCATCACAGATTGTGACATGCAAATTCTACACCAAAATACTCTAAACAGCCAGAAATCAAACTACAGACCTCCTTGTGACGAGGTGCTCAGTGTTCGCACTGAGCAACCAATAGAAAGATCCCAAATATAGGAGTGAATTATCAAGCCTATTCTAGTACCTGCCTCAACTACCATTACCATAGAAGTCTAAGAGAGAATACGCCTACACATGTTCTTATCAATTACCAAACAATAAAAATGTTAGTGATGTTTTAATATAATTAGAAGGCACTTTTTTGTGTGGCAGAAGTTTTAAAATTCCACCATTACTTTGAATAGTGCCCTCATTGTCTTTGCTTATATTTCCCATAGTTCCAGAGTGTACCACACCACAGCTGTCGTGTTATTTATGGTGCCAAGCTTAGCGCTGAGACTCGACGGCATGTCCAACCAAAACTGACAATTATCATCTGTCCCCAACTGGCTACTGTTGTGTTCTCACCTTCCCATGCACTCATTTTATCCATGGAAATCAAAGCTATATTTACACAATGGACCACAACAATAATACTATAAAGAGATGCAGGATGTTAAAAGAAAACAGGATCAGACTCAGATGTCATTACAGTGAATTTTAAGCACTAACATTTCTAGTAGAGGGTCGGCCACCTGCCTTCCTCCATAGAGATGTCATTGCATTGCAGAGAATGTTTCCCCATATGGCATTAAAGGAAAAAGGTAGTACCACCAGGCACACATCAAATCTATGGAGAAGCGACCTAGTCTGATTCATCAGTCAGTTTCACTTTGTAGAAACTGTTTGACCTGGCAGTATTAGAATTCGTTCGCTCAACAGTAGGCGGGTACTTTTTTTAATTTAACCAATCGCTGCTATTATCGTGACGTATGTATTGCACCTCTAAGCTTTTCCCAAATCTCGTAGGAAGAAGGGCAATAACGTCTTTCCCCTTGATAAAATTCACCAAACATTCTCTTTATTCCGGCGTTAAATCCTCGATCCCCAGAATCGTTGCCAACACAGAATATATGGCTCTGACTGGCTGGTGCCAGAACTTGCACTTCCGGGGTTCTTGCAAACCGTCTAGTGTATTCCGATTCCTGACCTAGTCGCTGACTGGAGAGAAATGAAATTGAGCGGAGGCACTAGGTGGGGCTAGCCTGGCTAGAGGTGACCCTGCTCAAAGTAAGAATGCATGTTGATTGTGGAGCAAAGTAATATCATCTCCAAGGAGACAATAAAGAGACACCAAGATAGAAAAGTTAGATGCAGTGCAAGGACAAACCTAAAATGTTATAGTCTGAAATTGAGAAGATCCCATGAACCTATAAGGGCTGAGATTTATTAATTAATTCATTTATTTATTTATTTTTACTATGACATGGTTATATGTTGTACATGTATGTATGTATTAAAATTAATGATTTAAGATTGTTGCTATCCTTGTGTGACTCATGTTCCTGTGTGTTTGCCCTTATGTAAAACAATGAAACTGGATATTTGTTCCTCATTTCACAGATTTATGTTTAGTGCCAGAGGGAGAGGGGAGGCACCGCATAGTAGACCTGTTCATTTTTGGCCTTTCTGTGCTGACAACTGCAGTCACTGACAGTTACAGCCTGAAATACCTGTATTTTTCCCTGTTTTATACTACAGTTATTGCCTCTATCTTTACTGATATTAAACCACTTGGAGTCATAGGCCAAGGTTTGTGTGAATGTACACTTTCAGCTGGGGTTGACAATATATTGGTGCTAATATGAGTATTGATATGAAGGATTGATTCTTATTTTGTAATGACCGAACAAGGAGAATCAAAAGATTGGCAGAGCTGAAACACATTTTTTTAAAGCACACACATAGTGCTTGAGCCATATAGTTATAATCTATGACACCTGCAAAACATTATGTTATAATTTGATCATAATTTTCACATTTTAAATTGTAATATTAATCTAAAATGACAAGTCCGCTGATTTCCATGGCAGTGTCCAATGGGAGCAGATAATGTTTGTAAATATCATCACGAGTCCGCAACTCCAATGAACAGCTGCAGATCACTCTAGCCAGTAGGGAGTAGCAGAATTTATTCTATTTTTTATTTGTACCAAAATTACACTGCTAAATCTTACGCATATCACAGATTAAGAAAAATAAAATTGGAGAACAAAGTAAACAAAGACCAATGTATGATGGTGACAGTGAAAACGCAGCCAGGCTGGCGCCACCTAGTGCCTCCGCTTAATTTCATTTCTCTTCAGCGACTAGATCAGGAATCAGAATATACTAGACGGTTTGCAATTCCCCGGAGGTGCAAGTTCGGGCACCAGCCAATCAGCGAAGAGTGATATATTCAGTGTTGTCAGCGATTCTCGAGATCGAGGATTTAAAGTTGGAATAAAGAGAATGTTTGGTGAATTTCATCAAGAGGAAAAGACGTTATTGTCCTTCTTCCTACGGGATTTGGGAAAAGCTTAATATATCAGTTAGCCCCGTTAGCGGTGCATTATATACGTCACGACCAAATAGCAGCGATTGATTAAATGATAAAAAGTACTCACCTACCATCGAGCGAACGAACTCTAAGGCTGCGAGGTTAAACAGTTTGTACGAAGTGAAATGACGTAAAACCGGCTGATGAATCAGGCTAGTGAAAACGAAGGTTGATCAGCAATATGGAGTCTTGAAAATAAGTGATTAAACATCACTCAAACATGCACAAATCACTCCAAATACAACACTGAAGGATAAATCTGCAGGAAGTAAATTTTGAGTTGTAGGTCTTCTTTAATCAAATAAGCCATGTTATAATAAAGGTTTTTAAAGTTTAACCTGTGAGTGCTTTGTTTTTTTACATACATGTTTTCAATGGACTCAAACGGATCAAACTTATTTGGATCTTAAACTGGTACTGGACAAACAAATGTGTGATGCGGCCAGGGTTTTGTGATATTTACAAAAAAGTGCAAAATCATACCACTTTAAACTTGTAATAAAATAAAAATCCCCCAATTTTGGTTCAATCTACTATGAGCTCTTTCTGAAGAATTCCCAATAGGTGTGACTAGATTTACAAATGCCCTGTCAAACTTCAAACCCAGATCTTCCTCTTGCTCATCATTCTTGCTCAGAACACATCAGCATAGAGGTCCAAAAGTAAACTTATAAGAATATACTCAATATTTTAATGTTGAGTATGTACAAAACAAAAGAAGGGGAGAGTGGCGTGTGATCCGAAGCACACTGCCCCGTGTCTCATATCAATCCCAGCTGTACTCCTAACACCCACAGTCTCGTATGATTCAACAAATGTGAAATGTGCAGTTAATATTATTACTGTACACATGCTAGGACCACACCTTATTGTTTTCACATCTGAGGAGAATCAAGACAGTTTTACAGAAGCACAAATGAAGTGTCCATTAAAACATCTATCTATACAGTACACATGTAAGTGAGATAGAGTTACACTGAATAACACAATGTAGTCAAGATGATGTGTGAAGAAGCGGACAGAAATCAGCACCACACTGAAGTCAGCAGAACGTTTTTTTTAAGCATATTGCCGATTTTATGATTCTCTAATGCTGATTTAGTTTGGCGAAATTATAACTTTTGTAAATATAAATTATAGCTTACTTGGGGAGAATTTAATTTGGGAAGAAAAGTTGAGAAAATGTGTTGAAAATTACAAGAAGTTCAGAAGTTCAAACATATCGATGATGTCTCAAGGAGAATTCTATCCAAAAGTTTGACACAGTTTACACGCACGAAACACATTTTTTTCTGATCCTGAACATGATTTCAACAAAATGAAGGTGTTTTCTTATATTTGTATTTGTCTGTTTTGCGAGGCAACAGTTATAAAATTCCCTAGTGTGATTTCACAATTTCCAAAAAGGGAGTAAAATTTAAAAGCTAAAAA